CAGAGTTCGTCTCATGTGGTGGCTTTTCACTGTGCTCGCTATTTCGAGCTACAAATCCGATTTCGAACAGTGGAGCCAGTCACGCCACTAAAAACGGCAGATCAAAGTCACAAAAACCTCACTCTGCATCACACCATATAGCAATACAACGCCCCGAACTCCAAGCACATCTCACTTTGATACCTACATTGGAACGTGTATCCACTCTTCATCGTTTTGTTATAAGGAAATGAACGCTATTCAACCCTGTACAGTAGTGCTCGCTCTTGCTTTTCTTCCGTCTGGAGCTTTAGAGCCATCTACTAGGTTTTAACATGATCACCATCTTTCAAGTTACATTCTCAATCGTCATTTCCGAATCCACCCATCTTTAATTCAAGTAAACAGATCCTGCAACTGCAGTAGCCCCTAAGTTCTGATGTGCTCACGCGTTGACATTTCCGGTATGAACGCTAACCATGGCACAAAATGTTCGGTAGCAAATATCACTTCCCACTCAGTTGCCCTTATTGTATTGTACACTCTCTGTAAGGCGAATTCTCCTCCCGAGAGAAGAAAACTTGCACTTAGGCCCTAAATTTGCTGCGGTGTTTTGCTCGCTTCCCGAATACTCATCTGGGAGCATTTACACAAGTTACAGACTAGATCTGTTGGTCAGTAGACAGTTATCGCCACCGCTGATCCCAATAAAGTCTCCGCCTCGAGTAGGTGTCTTTTGTGACACATCATTTCTAGTAGTTTCCACGTCGTGAATACCCCATCGTCTCCATAATTTATTTTCTTAACCAATCTTCCGAATGAAATATCAATTTTTCTTTTTTGTTACTTAAATTGGACCATCCATTTTCAGTTATATGAAGAATACAGGAAGGATGGTTCCCCACCCGTACAACTCTTACGTCAACCAATATTCATTGGTAAGCGATGTCCCGTAAACTCGATTCGCTGTCCCCTTACCGTTGCCATGATTAATCATGTGCCGTTTATGGCTGTTCTACAGCACTTCTGGCAGATACGTTGTTTGCGAGTTCTGATCGACTACTCACTGAACAGCAGGAACAATACGCCTACCTGTACAGCTACGCAGCAATGACAGTGGAACTAATTGACCAGAGCACCGATCGACGGCTGTCCAGTGATCGAAGTAGAGTGGAGGAAGCAAAGAAAGAGATCTTAGAAGCCAGTCGGATATGTCGCCAGGTATGCTTTTGTACTGGTGGATGTAGGATCTATATTGAGGTCATGCCTTCGCTATGTTGTTCATGATTTCTACGGCATTCTATTTGAGTAATGCTCCAAGAATGGCTCCTATGACATTCCCTGCATTGGGTTTGCTTTTTTCAGTGGAACAACATGTCAGGTAGTGCAATCAGTCTCCGGTCGTTTCGTGATCTCCCGACTCTCTTGTCTTGTGTTGCCTGTCGCCCGGTTTCGTTCGGCGTGTTTCGATTTGTCCGTGTGGCTTTTCGTACAAAACGGGTGGATTTCGAGTTGAATTTAGAAACTATGAAGCCCTACTGCATTGTTGTCAATGAGTTGGCCGAAGTCAATGAACACTTGCATCCCGCCTTGCTGGCTTTCATCACTGAGTTACTGGTCTCTTCGGTCGAGGGAATGGAAGATTTGAGCCAAGTAAGCAGACCCATGGATTTCAACCCTTGTTTGTTGTCTTTTGGTTTACGTTCATCAGCCCTAGCTAGGTAAGGAATGTTCGATCGCTCACCTTAATTTGCCGTCCTTATTTCGGGATTTAAAAAAATCTCCGATATTGTATCCTAAGTTAGTCGTTGTACGCATCCGCGAACCTGTCACCAGTCGAGATCTCTTCCATCATTAACTGAGATAATTTGAACAATTGGCTTACTACTAAACTCAGGGCGTTTCGCATTCCTAAGGCACAAGGAAAGAGGAAACAGTCAACATTCATATCAGGAAACCGCTTTCTAATGTGAATGATGAATCTGATGACTGGTTGACTTCGTAATCTGGTTTTCCAGCATCTGCAATACAATCAGTTGGATGGTTAACTAATGAAATCTTATTTCCTATTCTGAAACTTTAAAACCGTTGCGCTAATAATTTTTTTATCGACAACTCCAATCCTAAGATCTCATGAAACTGTTCCTTTTGAAGCATCTCTAAAATCGCCTGTACTTTCACCGTAGTCAACCATAGTACAATGTTGCTTTAGAGTGACTATCCTTATGGACACCCAAATCGATGGCCTTAGGAAAGGTGAGGGCTGCTAGTCCTACTCGTATTTTGTCTCTGAATAATTGATCATTAAGCGATTAATGAATTATTTTATCGACAAGCACTGTTTTGACCTGTAGTTTTCGCTCGATTTCAACCTTCAGGAATTTGAATCTTAACCGCAGTTAACCGAATGTGTCCTTTTCAGTTGAGTTTGCATACAACTAGGACTTGTGCCTTCGTGGTACTTTAGTCCAAGTGAAAGAACTTGCTTCCTCTTGCGCAACGGTACTGTCCAGACTATAGAGGAGTCCGTCGATTTTTTTGTCGCCCAACATAATACTGGTTTGCCAGTTCGTATGTAGTAAGCAACCACAACGGCATCTGGTCACTTAAGCCACCATAAACGAGTGGGATGTACAATTGTTTCGAATTTTTACACCAATGTTTGTCCAATTTCTGTGTAATTTAAGGTTCTCTGGTCGTCTCGTGCCCTGGTGGTCAGATCATGGTGATAATACCGTACAGTTTTTGTTCTCCCCTCGCACCATGCCACATTCATATGGAATGAGTTGGTGATAAAAAACCTAATTACCTGGGTTGCTCCTACTTAGTGTCTACCCAGTATGGCTAGTTTTGTTTTGTTTTAACCGTAAAATGAGGACTTACTGTTAGCTAGTCGTTCCTACCTTACTGAATCCGGAAACCCATGTTGGACCTGATATTTCGTAGAAATAAGTTCCTTCAAGAGAAGTTCAAAACACCATTGGTGCACAACATTCTGTCTAGCATTTTTTGGATATGCACGAGCTTCGGATATTTCCATGATCCACGTGTTCAGTTACGTTGCAAAGTTGAGTACACAACACAAAATCGTCTTGCAAACGATTCGAAACTTTTCACTCGACTCAAACAGGGTCCTTGTTCGTTTTGGCGATTATGCATTCTAAAAGTGGTCTCGTTTGTAACAAGGGAGTGGCCTTCAGCACGGTAGGAATTCGGAAATTTTAACCAGAATGTCACTACTAGGGTGCCATCGCTACGACCGAGGTTCGCTTGTAAAATGACTTGGTGCTTTACAACGGATTTTCAGCATATTTGCACAGACATGTTAAGGCACAATTTCTTAGACTTTCCTGTTACTTAGTATACATAATCGCTCCATTGTCACTGACTCCCAACATGGCAATTAATGACGTCGCTTGAGTACTTTTTTGTCAGTATCATGTTGCAGGATATTCCGTCTTTCATTGGGTACACACATTTCAAGACTGGGACAGGCCTATGATTTGACTAACCTCACTACTTGCGAGGTCCTTCCGTCGGCTTCATGCTTCACTTTCCCCCAATACGATCTCTTGGGTCATCTTTGTTTGGGCGCACTACTGTGTAGTGTTAGCAGCTGGGAATTGAAAATCTAAGTGTGACTATTTTTGTCATATTCGCATAAAGCCCTTCCATATTATTTAATTTATAGTTTTTAGACCAGTGTTAGTTGTGCAGCTCAGCTTTCGAACTAGGGTTGCTATCAAACATATACATCGCGACTATCGATGGACTGCGTTTCGTGCGGACCACTCACATTCTCATCGAAACTTCAGGGCACGATTTAGACATAAGTTGAGCTACTGATAGGCCCACAAGTAGTGTATTTGTACGGCCATTGACGTCACAACATCGGTGTCCAACGCTGATGCTTCGCTGACATGCAGTCATAAGTTGTTTGAATACCTTATTGTGAGGCAAAGAACCAAAGTGGATAGGGAAAAGGCCTTTTTATAACCTACCACAATCATTCAGAACTACCTACATCTGCAGATACTCATTCAAGGTGATCTGGATAGAAACCGACAAGAACACCGTTGACATTGGTTAGTGCCAATATCGTGCGTTTCCAACTGTATCCAGAAGTACCTCGTCCTAGAAGGCAAGCCACTCAGACAATACCAAGACGTTTCGTCATCTTTCCCATACCCTCTGCCTGATCCAACTTTGACCAACCCTTTGCCTAAGCCACGTTGAATCAAGCATCAATAGCAGCACTCTTACTAAGCGAACCTGTTAAGGAGAAGAGATTGGTCAGATGAATCAAACGCATCTCGGAGATCCTGGAATAACAAAATTGCAGATCGTTGATAAGGATAGCGTTGCTCTAATGTCGGACGGGTTGTGAAGATTTGGTTAACGAAACCCATACTAGGCCGGAATGCCGCTTGCTTTGCAAATGCTTTTCCGGGTCACCATAGGTACTAGGCCGGAATGCCGCTTGCTTTTGCAAATGCTTTCCGGGTCACCATAGGGCGGCAAAGGACACATGAAGGCAAGGTTCTCGTCAGAAATGCCGTCAAGTTTATCCATCTGTGATTATGGCACTCACTTCGGGCCCATTTTTGAAGGTGGGCGTAATCGCTGACTGTCTTCACTTGTCTCAGCCATTGTTTTTCCAAGAGGTATGTAAATAGATCAGACAAGCACTGACTGAGCACTTTACCCTTATCCTTGAACCATGCGGGTGATAGGTAATCGGGACCAAGAGCTCGTTGACACCCGAGTGAACATATGCAGCCATAAAACTCTAAGACCTTAAGGGGTTCCAGGTTCACCGGCCAGGATCTAACGCAATTCGAGGAATTTTTACAGCTCAGTGTGTCGCCTCGGTTCATCAGGATCAGGTCATTTTTCGGATCTTCTGTGATCATGATTTATCTAGGCTTTCACTGGTGGTCAGATTCATATTAAAATTCCGTACGTGGAACAGTTAAGTCGCCAATGCAGCGTTTCTGTTTTTTACGCTTGTCGCGGAAAGCAGATATTAGACAGTGACCTCCTAGTCCCGGATTCCACAATCGAATACAGTTTCTTCACCAATGATAGATGGCCATTCTGTCCTGTAGGTTCTTCACAATTTTGTGTGTGAATTAGGCTTGTAAAATATTAACTGCTGCCGCCAGACTGAGTGAAGTCACATGTTAACCCCATACTTTCCGACCAGCAACTTGGTGTAGATAAAATTTATTTAATTCAAACAGTGATGGTGGAAAAGGTGGGACACCGGATGTCTTGGTGCTTTTGGCATCAGGTTTCATGAGGTTTTTCTGTCGCCAATACCATTGTTTTTAGCTGTCGCCTTCCCTTGTCGTGCACTGATGCAGGTCTCCATTGTTTTTAGCTGTCGCCTTCCCTTGTGCACTGATGCAGGTCCACTGTGCGATGTGAGATGTTTCTTGCATATAACCTAGTAAACACTCTATCTATCCGCTCAAATATCAAAAACTTTCGACCAGAATCTGTGCAGCATGTGGAATATGAAACTCATACCGAAAGTTTGTAATTCTCTGTGCTTACCCCAGTTGTAATTCTGGTAGAAATTTTTTCGTATTTTTCGTAATCCATTTTCACATTCCATAAAGCAAGTTTTTCAATCTGTTTTTGCAGTTGGAGTACAAACGCATGCTCGTGGGCCTATTGGTTCATCTGTTGTATTGTGGTCATGTGCTTCCTGTCATTCGGACAATGCACCGTCTTTTCACCAGGAACCGTATCGATGTCTCGATTGCACGTCACTTTGTAACTGAGGTATGGTTACGTCCGAGTATGAATATTTGGCTTGCTTATTGTTTGTTAACAACTCAGGAACCATCTTTTGACCTACTGTGTATGGTTCTTGAAGCTTCCGTTTACACTGAGCTATTTAAACAAGCATGTATTGTACAGCGCGAACAAACACCTGATCTGTGCTGCTCCATTTGTCGGGTATACCATTTTTCTGGGTTTCATGGAGAGTGGACCTAATCCTCATATTAAGCGATGTTGCTCTCACGTTCATGAGTTTAATGTGCGGTTCATTATCCGAAGTGCAGAATGCCATGCCATTGCATTTTGGTTTCTGTTTATTAGTAATGCAACCCCCAGTCTATGTGAAAGTGACACCACTGGGTTCACTTGCTAAACTTTCCTCATCTGTGTCTGGAGAACCCCGTCTTAAAGCTCTTGATATTCCAGTGCATTAAGGCTAGGAGTGAATTCCTGTGACCATCAATACACCAAACTGAATATTGACTAACGCTAGCTGGCAATACGTGTGTGCCTAGGATGTGTCGCATTTGTGGTGCGGACTATCAAACAACCTTTTACGTGCTCCGTGATTGTCAACCTTAAGGGGCCGGAGGCGATTCCCCAGAAAGAGGCTTTGAATCGGCTGCCAAGCTGAATGCCGTTTTTCATTGCTTCTTTACATATTCCTGATGTACGTTTTATTATATTGTACTGAGTTGCGATTCAATGTACCGTACTCTATTCTATTTTTGTGTACTACATGTAGTGATCTGCACCAACACTCCAAACGTTCTGGACTACTCGGCCCATAATGGCTCTGAAGCTGACTGTGTCCGTTTTTAAACAGACGCAATTGAATAGTGGCTATTACCAGCTTACGATATGCGCGTGTCTAGATTGCGTCCCTTTAGTAGTGTGGGCCACCGAATACTTCTTACTGCCTTGATTCATCCGATTCTCACCGGTGTGACCAGCTCATCTTCCGTATTACAGTGGAGAATATCTCTCCAGTTTTTATATCTTTATTTGTTAAAAAAGTTGAACACAGATTGTTAGGCCGGGAACCGGGAGAAAATTTGTGGCGCCAGCACAAAATCGAGGCTGATTCGATGAAATTGGAATATACTTTCTTATCCTCCAGGATACTTGGGTCAACTTCCGAAGAAGCATCTGTGCATTTGACAAAATATTGCACACGAAATTCTAAGTGAATCTGCGACAATCGTTGGTTATTCTTCTGTGTTTTAGTGATTGTAACTCCCATAGAAAGAACAGCTGACAAAAAACCTTGATTTTGGGGTCTTCCCGCGGGCAAGTAGGTTTATACGTTCTCACTTTGGCAGTTTTGTATGTCAATAGGAACTGAATAAACTTCTTTTTTCGGCACAAACTTAACTGAGCCTAGTTGACGTTTTTCAGGTTCTAAATATTGCGGCTCCTCCATATGAACCGTCATTTTTGGCCGCCTTACATCCATTGGTCACCCATCCGGACATCAGCAACGGACTGAGGACAGGAAAGGATACAGAATTCGTAAACGATTTTCTTGGTAATTTCCTCGTGATTTTTAGTATGCTTCCGGCTCACTCAAAATGTGGTATTGTGATAGTACTGTGCAATCCTTCGGATCATTCACCGAGCTTATCAACTATATTTGGGAAGCGACTACAGTGGTCCCTCTTGAGAGGGACATTTTTAATCTAGGCCGCTTATTCTGACAGACAATAATAGCGTTTCCAATCGGCCACTACCCATTGTTCCCGCTGACTAAAGCGAGACCGCCTCCTAGGCGAGACCAGATACTTCAATCGCATATGGACCGTTATGGAGACAACTATTGGCTATTGTCGCTTGAGGACCTATTTGTAGGCAACATCTTCACATGGTTGATCAAACAACCAGCAGCCAATCGATGTACATAGATGATCACTACTCTGAAATGAGCTAAGATCCGGGTTGCAGTCTAACCTGAACGCCTTGTCACTAAACTGGTGTTCTAGCTAGAATGCTTTGTGTGTGTAGTCCAACTATCGGTGAATTTGGACCCCTGCGATTTAATTTAATAATACAGAGTGGGAGGTTCAGTTAAACCTAAAGTGAGTTGAGTTTGTGATTAGTCGGTATATGGTTCGAATCCACTCTTGATTTTTCGATTGGTTCATCCAGCGTTCTCTCAGTTCCCTTGCTTTTTTCGCGTCATACGCCATGCTAAGCGTACCAAGCTGAGCTGGTTATCCTGATTTAAACTCAAGACAGTCCATCTTTCACGTTATTTTGTGTGATATGGCAGTAGGCATGTCAATAAGCATTGCCCCGTGAACGCAGATGACATTATGGGAAGAGTGGGACTAATTACTGCGAATTACTGCAACACTCTGCCCAATTCATTTGTCGATAATACTGTATATTGGGGACGAGCTGGCTCAGTAGTTAGATCGCGAATTTACTGGCCGGAAGATCCGTGGTGCGGACCTGGCCTCTACATCTTGACCTCTTCTGTCTAGGCTTCGGTAATCTGGCAGTATTACAGCCGTCGTACTTCTTTTGGGTGGCGTGGCAGCTAGGCACCAAAATGGTGTTACAGCTGAACGGTTAATACTGTATATTATTTTTAGGTTTCTCGTCTCTTGTTTCATCTTTAATTGTTAGATTTGCAACTTCACAACGATTTCCACTTGGGTTCCGTATCAACCGGATAAGTATTACGTTATCTGTTGGCTTGTCCACCGAGCTGATTGTAATGTTCTGCCTCGGGGGGACAGTTATTTTGAGATGTTGAGCCATATTCAGGATATTAGTACCGTACACACAGCGGCCTGTTTACCTTGCTTCCAACCGGCCTTTATTATCCGTGTATACGTTTTCGTTGTTACAGTAAGCCATGTCCTGGATTGGTTTCAACTTATGTAACCATGGTGCCTGTATTTTGTTGTATGTAAATGTTGGTGTAGTTCGAATCCTACCCTATCTTATTTCAGAACATTACGAGAAAGAAATGGCTTCTGGATCTTCCACTGAGTAACCGGGAGCTGCAACCTTATTCTTCATTTTGTGTTTCCTATCAACCTGTACAGTTTCTTTTTATTTGCTTCGACTTTTCTTGTGCCAAACATGAAAGCTTTTGCTGTCCTTCTTGGGGTTACGAGTTAAGTACTGTTTAAGGACACCGAATCGTTACAGTTGATGAACACCTTGATTCACCACTAGTTCCGCACAGCGGTTCTTGCTGATGAATGCATCTGCGGGAACATTCACTTGTTGGACAAGTGCAAGTGAATTTCACGTAGTGCCGTTACAGTTTATGTAGTCGCATATACGGGACTCTATGTACTAAATTACATTCCTGCAGTTAAAGTACAAACGATAACCATTTAACTGTCTTGTAAAAGTCGAGTGAACCACTTGATGTTAGCCTGTACGGTAGCACAAACTATTTTGATTAACTGAAGCGCTTGTCTGCAAGCGATGCTAATGTGTTCATCTTTGCCGAAGTGCAAGAAGCATTCAGCCAGTCCGCTATGCGTGAGGTTAGCCCAGCACACGAGTTTGTATCAGTCAGCTGAAATGCGGGCGCCCTCCTCACAACTCTAAATCTCCGTAATATACGTCTATCGCGATGACACAGAATAGGAATGTAACAGATAGCAAATTATACACAGGTTCTGAGTGCTCACATAACAGTATTTACTGTTTAGACTTCATTCGATTTCCGAAACAAGTATGTTTTGTGGATCCAACGGATCTGTCGCCAATATTCTGTGGCTCGGATTGCATCAGTTGACCACTGGGTAATACTCTGTGCATTTCTGAAGACAAGCTGACATTACTGGACACGCTAGTTTTTCAGTGGAACAGTCCGGGAATACACTTCCAGCATTGGACTAAGGGACATCCAAATGCACGGTCATTAGCCAACTGATTGCTTAACTTCACGCATATATCATCACTGACTTGTGAGTAGCCATAGACGGTGAGCTTGCTTACCAAATGTGTACTTAGCGTAGGTGAAACACAATTAAGTGTATTTTGTTTCCAGTGTATGCTTTCCTTACGTATTTCGGTTTCCGAATGTTCTCACTATCGCGGGGAACAAGACAGCGATAGGCGAGTTGAACAGTTCCAAATGAACTAAATGGCAGTGCTGCGTAGCAGGAAACGAACGGTATAGTTTGTGTTCATCGAATATATAATCCCGGCGTTTCACGATCTCCACGCCTGCCAGACGGATCTATGAACGAAAACTATCAGCTCCTCAGTCTTGTAATTCGCATGACCTCGGCGAGCCATGTGTTCTATAATCGCGCCACGTTAAGGAGGTTGATCATATCGGGTAAAATATTTGATTTGTCATGCTTGGTGCCTATGTACTGCAAGTACGTATACTTGTACATTCACAATTCCGGAGATGGTTGGCTTTATAAGGCATGTTATTGCAAGTTATTCTGTCAACAGCGAACTACGTGGAAAATTACTTCGCGTGTTAACGATTCTGCTTTTCGAAACTTTCGAAGATCCGGTTAAAGGCATAAGTGTTGATGTCACTGCGGGCCAAGGGCAACTATAGATTTAATTAAGAATTTGCATATGAAAGTCCATGACTTTTGTCAGCAAAGCTGTTGGCCATTAGACAACCGTGCATCAAATAAAAAATGACAGTTGATTTTGAGTTGTGTTAGCTCTTTGTCATCGTAGTACTCCTTGCGAATACATAAGAAACTACCTACTTATCACAGCAAACACGTTTTCGACAAGTTCAGCTGGTTCGCACCACATCGTTAGTACGCAACCGGTAGATTTGAATTTGTCATCGAAAAATCCGCTTGTCGCTAGTTTCTCTGCAACCCAGTCATCACATCGATGGTTTACGTTGCAAGTTAGACAGATTTGGTATTGGAATGTCCCGTCTTGGGTGCACGTCTTGTCACTAAGTGTTAACGGCATGGCATTATGACATGTGAGACAGTTTCGTGTTCATTGTGTGTGTGTGTGCATTGTACCTCACAGCAGGAGGCCACTGTTGTTGGATCTTAGGGTGACAAGGATTGATCAGTTAACTTCGGATCTCAGTGGTGATACAATTTCATGAAGAAATCAAATGTGCTTATCAAAACTGAATATTGACATAACCTTGGCTCCCGAGGATGAGTATATCTGTTTTAGGTAAGCGAAGACCATAGCCGGTCAATGTCTGTCACTCGCTAAAATTCGTCTAATCTGCTTGCATGAGAAAACATGCTTGGGAACAGAAATTCACCAACTTATTGGCAATTAACAAACAGTGGAGCTGTAAAATGGTTTGACATGCATCATCATCATCAAGGACATCAATATCAGTGTTGGCACTAATGCTTCAATGCCGTACAGCCATAAGGTTCGTCTAGTTATATATATAATTATATTAAAAAGCCCTAGAGTAAAAAGAGAAGAGTGGGTGAAGGAGGGGACCTAGTGCTGGCCCACGTCAATTATCCTGAGGTGCCTACACCTCCAAAAGCTCAATCAGACAAACTGGAAAGGAACTGACAATGATTAGCCGCCATTTCTTGCGACGTCTCCAGCCAAGTATAGGGGGGTCACGGGGACCCATCCTGAAGGGCGTACAACACCAACAGCTATTCTTGGTCTTTTTCATTCCCTTCTGCCAAGCCATGCGTTGTCCACCTCGTGGTTTGTGCCACTCTGAAGATGGCACGGAAAACAACACTCGTATCGTAGACGGTGTTCCGGCGTGTGTAGCACATGACCGAGGCATCGTAGTCAGTGGTGCTGCATGTTACCTCGAAGTACCTACCTCACAACCAAGCACCTATTTTCTGATCATCTGGTTACTAGCACGCCGACGCCATCCAAAACTAACCAAGTTTCTGAGGCGTCGGTGGTCAAAAATCTGAAGACGCCTAACACGTCCGCAGAGGCCATTTCACGCCCATACAACAACAGCCCTTCCTCTAGCCCGGTACACCCAACCCTTAAGATTTAGTGATGTCTTTTTGACGCCATAAGTAACGCAAGTTAGCAAGCGTGATTCGAACCTCTGGTATTTTGGCAATAACTTCAGTCGACACATTCTCGTCAGAGCTAATACAACTACCGAGGCATGCAAAATTTCCAGTCTCCAGTGATCCTCCCTGAATTGTAAGCGACATGTTCGGAGACCGCAAGTTCTGAAGCATGACTTTGCACTTTGAAGTTGCAAGGGATATGGCGAAAGACAATATGACGTTGGTCAGTCTATTCAACAGGACTTGTGCTTTGCTTTGGTCTTCAAAGTTGAGGGCGATATCATCTACGTACTCCAACTCGACAAGGCTCTCACCAGAAGCAAATTGAACACCAGGCTTTTGGAGACCCTCTAGTGTTCGCCGCATTAGTTGATCAGTGACGAAGTTGAATAAGAATGGAGATAGTGGACATCCGTGTCGGACACGGTTTTTGTGGGGAAGCTTTTGGAGAACTCAGCCGCCAAGAAGTATGTGAACATAGGGATCGGATTATGTGGACCAACTTCTGCGGCATATGTTGAGCAAGTGTAGTTAACACCACTGATCGATCGACAGAATCAAACATAACTTTGAAGTGAAGGAATACCAGGATTGTGGGTCGTCTGTACATATCACGTTGCTCTAACATCTGACGGAACGTGGAGATATGGTCAACGCAGCCTCTACCGGGTCGAAATCTCACGAGTCAAGGGTTCGCATGCCACCGTAAGACGACGAAGAATCAGTGACGCCAGAAGCCCCGTCACAACAGGCGTCAAGCTAATATCTCTGTGGTTGCTGATTCACTGCGAGTACCATTTTCGAAAGTAAGCACCACAATCGATTCACTCCAGTTGTCGGGGACGGTCTCCTTCTCCCAGATAGACCCATATAGGTTGGACACGCACTGGTTGAGGAATCCACCGCCATCCTTGAAAACAGAAGGTGGATTGTCATCATGTGGAAGGTCGTCAGGACCAGCACCACGATAACGATTGAGTAGAGAAATACATTTGGACACTTCTGAGACTGAAGGCGGCTCCATATTTACGGTCCACTTTTCCGTTGAAGGCCAGGTTTCTGGATTGGAGGTAACAGATGGCCAGCTGGATTGCTGTTCGACGTACTGTGCCCATCGTTCAAAACGTTCTGCTTCGTTGCTTTGTTGTCTTTTACTATTTCGCTGACAACAGGTTTTCGAGGACCAGTCGAACGAATCAAGTGGAACAATTTGCGCACTTTTCCAGCATTCTTTGCATCTTCCGTTTCTTCGACCTTTCGGGTCCACCGAGCTTCTCGGTCTGCGCGGACACTCAGTTTCACCTGGCGTCGAATGATGCGCCAGGTGGAGTTGTGGCGACCAGTTGGAATCTGTCACCAGGTCTCCAGCAAAGACACGGTTCTATCAGAGATCCAATGCTTGGATGAGGTTGGCTGGGTTGTACATCAAGCAGACGCTCCTGCTTTGAGCAACGCGTTGGATATTTTTTCCCAGTAGCCGTTTATATCCGACACCGTACCGTCCGGCAGGCATTCGAGGAGCTGTTTCTGATAGTTTCGTTTGGTTTCTGGATCAACTAGCTTCTCAATGGCTAAGCGAGGTGTGCGCGATTTGCGTACACCTGAAAAGCGCAATGAAAAGCAGCAGCGTACAAGTGCATGGTCGGAGTCCACGCTGGTGTTCCAGAAGGAGCGGCAGGCGGTGATCGACCCTCGCCACCGATAACTGACAGCGATGTGGTCTATTTGGATTCGGCACTGGTTTGATGATGGGCACCACGTTGTCAAGCGATTTCCGCTGTTCCGGAAATTCGTACTGCAAAGGAACAGCCTGTGATCGGCACACATCTGAAGTAAGCGGTCTCCGTTGTCCGTGCGTCTAGTGTCCAAACCAAGACGACCACCCAATCGGGCCTCAGCAGCGCTTAGTCTACCTACCTGGGCGTTCATATCACCAGCAACCACAACGATATCTGAGCTTTTAGCCTGTTGTAGAAGGGCACCTAGAGCGTCAGAGAAACTGTCCTTGGCAGATTCAGAGCTAGTCAGTTGAGGCGTAAGCAGAAACAATAAACAAGGTGCGATGAACCTCACTTCCTCTAGATTCTCTCACCGATGCTGGCAAACGAACCACACAGAGGTGACTGTCAACGGGTCTCCAATCAAGCAGAGACGCTTCCGCTCGTTCGCTCAATACAATACCCACCCCAGCATATCCAGCTGCAGCGGCCTCTGCATCACCAGAGGTGCGCAGTCGGAACCTGGAAGAGAGCGAGGGGGCAGTCAGTTCGATTACAGTACTTGCGTCCTGCGTCCTTGTTTCTGACAGACAACATACATCAATACAGAGGGGATCCAGCGTACGCGCCAGAGCCACCTGTTGACCAGCTTGCTTCAGTGTGCGAACATTGAAGGTGGCTAGATAGACAGGCTTTCGGGGTTTGAAAACAGACTTCGAATTGTTCAGGGTTGTAACTGAACTCGGAATTACAGAAACTGCAGCTTAGTATAGTGCAGGGCGAGCAAAACGGTCAGTCCTAGGGCTGGGAACTTCGGGGAAAGTATTCAAAATTTCGCAGGAAAAGGGGTTTGAAAGACGGAAAACGTGAAAGTGTAAGAAGGGAGCCATCAGCAGTAACATGTTTTCGCTTAACAGCCCTGCTGTATACATCAAGTAGGGCGACGACACCACTCGACGGCTGGTGTGGCATGAGAGTATTTTTAGTTATGCATGTCATGGTTGTACGAGGGCTGGGCTACTGCCAGGGCGCCCACGCCTAGACAGGAGGACAATTAGAGTCCTCAACCAAAGCCTTTGGTTCAAAAGCCTAACCGCAAGGCAGCGGTATTTGGCTGGAAATGCAAGCACGTTACCATTTTTACGGTACATTTCGCCACACATGTTCCAGCCCCCGACATGGAGGGCTAGAGGACTATGTTCGTCAGACCTCTACCCATGGGCCAACCTGGTATGAGAGACTCTGTGAGCATCGTGCGGACACCCCCCAGTATAGCTCAGTGTGTTGCCGCCACACTACGCTAACGTCCAGTCTTTTCGTGACTAACTCGCATGAAATCTGCACTTCTAATATAGAGCAGGACCTCTAAACGACGGCCTGTTGGCCAAGTCGGTCATACTTACCGCTTCCGATTGCCAGAATGTAAGATACCTAATTCATTTTTCCGCCAAGCAGGGCCAATTGTGTACTACCAAAAGAAATGAGTCGTGCAGAGATTCGCGAACCTCTGTCACTACAGGTAAATTGAAATCACTATTGGGCTAGAAAAGGGCCCTTTTTATCACAATTAGCTTTTCGGTTGAGGTTACTATGGCTAGTTGTAAGACAGTTCTCCACTTGTCTGAACGATGAATATCGTTTAACGACGGATATGTTGGAGTTTATGTAGCAGGGCATCACCTTAATTGTGCTTCATGAATATATTTGATCCTACCTTCTGTTTACCTTCTACCAACAGTGATTGTTATCAGCAGTTGAAAAGCCTTTTGCAGTGGGGTCATTTTCCGGGCTTGATATATGAGTAAAAAAGAAGATTCGGATCCGGCTGGCGTAGCTTAGATAGCTGACGTTCGACCACAAAGGACGATGGTCACTGTCTCCACAAGTAATTTTAAACTCGATATGGTAGATTTATTGAAAGTGTTGTATGCTTGTGAATACCAGTATTTGATGTGTATACATCTTTCAAAGTGGAATTTATCATTCTATCATGTTCATGCTGTCGCACCTCCCTTACTTTCCGTCATGTGTGGGCTTTCACAAGGAGGCTTTTCATTGCGTTTCCCTGTGAACTTGCATGCTTTCTCCCGATATGCTTCACTTGTAAGTCAAATAAGCCTTCTGTTATTACGTTAAGTGTATGCACCACTGTGCTTTGCCATGACGTTGACCGATCCCCAACAAAAGCATTCGTCATATTTGCCATTTCTTTTGTATACATTGGACCACCCCAGCCTCATATAACGAATTTAGTTCGAAGTGGGCAATCCAACAAGCGAGATCATAGTGAGAAAAGGAATTCGATAATATAAGCAGTATGAATGTCGGTTTCGATGTGGTCGTGCAGTTATTAGTGAAATACACTCACTTAAGAAACATGCTGCTTTTAGGAGCAGACTCGACAAAATTCCAGCTGATGTTCCATTCATCAACCGAATGTGCTGCACACAGACTGTCCCATGCTTCAGTGAGTACGACAATCGATGCATAGAAGTATATTGCGTCCGCGTAGCCAACTGCCAACGGGAATTCGAGCGGTTCACAGGTTAGAGTGCGAATTTATTGGCCAGAAGATCTATGGTTCGAACCCGACCTCTGCCTCTAGACTTCCCCTGTTTAGACTTGGGGAAACTGGCAGCGTCCCAGCCATCGTGGTTGCTTCGGGTGACACGGTAGCAAGGCACCGAAAGGGTGTTACAACTAAACGATTGTTATTGTTACTAGCTGTCAGTTTATATTATTGCCAGTTTAACTGAAAGGTACTGTGTGCATCAGGAGTGAGTGACATATTGACCCGCAAATAGAAATATCAGAAAACCGTCCGTATGAAATAAAGTTAATAGGTTTCACCGTATGACCAACGCAAACGGCACTGTGCGAGATACGCCATCAAGGGCACAGTGACCTGATCTGCGATAGTTTTGTATGGCAATTCAAATGAACCAAGACTGAATTGGTCTGATCATCACATTGCACCTGTAAAAACCAAACCAACTTTCCGGGCAAAACTGCATGCAGTCAGAAACGAGGGCAGATGTCGGCTTCCATAACACGCTCGAAAAACATACTGATACCTGACTCCGCTATTTCGCTTTTCAGCACAGTGTACGCTTTCCGGCGGTAGATAAGTTCAAAGAATTACCGGGGATGCCATGAAAGCATAAAATATCCTCCGAGTGCATCATTCTAACGAAGAATAGCAGTATGAAGTCATACATCATACAATGCAACAATCCACTTAATGCTGTCTTCTGAAACGTTAATAATCAACAACCAATCTGACAGCGTCGTTTGCATGAATTGAAAAAAGTCAGCTTCGCGAAGAAGAATAAATGTCATTAACAAATGCCGACTTGAAGAAAACACGACAAACGTTTCTGGACATATTTATTTCGTTTAAGAGTTGTCCAGGCTGTGAATTCCCAGAAGATACCGGTATGTTAAAGCGAGATCCAGGATTAGCAAACACCACAATGTAAGCAATGGTGACAGTTTTCCGGACTTCGCTAATATGCATGGATTTGGTGAATAACGTATAGTAAACTTACCATAACGGATAACGGGGAAGTGTCACTGGGATATCGTTTCACAGTTCATCGCAATTCGGACTTAAATTTCGATATAACTTCCGTGAAGGGTGGTGAGGTTAGCTGGTGTGCATAAAAACAGGGAGACGTGAGTTAGATCAAAAAAACTGCAGGCCTTGTCTGAGTAGGCGGACAGGGAGGAAACTAACGGTCTCGTGCATAGTTTACAGTGTAGGATAGTTGTGTTTGGCTTGTCATATTCGGCACCTTATGCAAATTTCGGCTGCACCAAAGTTCCATACACACGAACAGACTTAATCAGTTACCTCTTCTAAGTAAGTCACCTGTTTCATCATCGTCAGATACCTATGTCTAAAAAAGCCACAATCCTACGTCTGTTTCTACTAAATACGGTGGTCTGTGGCGTTTTTAGGGGAGCTCAAAGAGTCAGCCTTGCCCCAGCAGTAGAATAACTAAGAGTTCAGACAAGTAAGCAAGTAAGAATCAAGATTATCACCTGCTTATGGCTCGACAAACAGGGGTTATAGGTGTCACCACATAGCTTATTTTCGTTTGTTTGAGTCGGGATTTTTCGGGAGGAAAGTTCTCCGGTGTAAATGATTCTGTGGAACATCGGAAGGAACGCTAACTAGTTTACAATTGAAGGAACTCAATATTGCATCAGGTCATTGTTTTTTTTTCAAAAGGGGGCTTATCACGATTAGCAGTAGGATTTAGAACAGGTGAATACGAGGGAGTTTGTTACGAATCTGGGTAGTAGTAAGGCCCTCATTCACAACCAGTTATGCGGCTAAATATTGGCAGCTCAGGTGAGTTTATTGACTGTTGGTCAGGTGGCAGTCGATCTGCCCACTGAGCCTCGCAGTTGGCTTGTGGTCACCATGTTACCATGCGAAGAGACATTGTCAGCGCGCGTACTGACTGCCGAGTAGCATGCGCCCAACCTCAAACTAACCAGCAGAACGCTCTCCTTCCCTAATGATGTTGGCAGTTCAAAACGAGGCAACTGCCATCCTTAAGTATCAAGAGCCGTTGATTTTGCTTTTCCGCAATCGCCTGCACCAAGTTTTCCCACCTTCAATTATTGCATATGACAATCCCAAAGGAATCAAAAGTTCTCGTACTGATAATAAATGTTCGTTTTGCATCTACTTATCGTGGAGTTGATTTCCATCCCATAACCGTAGCAGCACGATCTTGGTGTCCATTGCTGCTGCATTGAAATGAAAGATTTTTCTTCAGAAAACATACTTCGATAATACGGTGGCATTTTTATATATGAAGAACGAAGCTATGTTGCGGAGTGAGGGTAATAAAATGCTATGAATTCCATCATATATACAAGTATCACAAAACTGCTGACTGACAACGCTACCTAATAGAAGTTCGAATTGCTCCACATTAGGAACAAGTCAGCGTTTGGAAACAACTGTCTTTGATGGGAAAGTGAAGCACGAAAAGTGGGTCACCAAGGTCCATTGAATGCATATAACTAGAAAGTTAGTCATATATTCAACTTTTGGTGGGCACGAATCATAGCAACCTGTAGGGCACGTGACCATTCTGTGAGTTCCTCAACTTCATTTGGCACTCTCGGAATTGCGGAGGAAACTGCGGGTTGTTTCAGTCGCAACTGTGGTAGGGACTTGAGAAAAAGCACGCCATTATTCCGAATTGTGAGTTGAAGTTGGAGCAGCTGATCAGTTTTTTTGTTCCTAATACTTTCGATTTTCACTATCGTTCCGACGAAGATACATGTCCACTGGTTCTTATGAATGCATTCACTGGCAGGGGGTGCGCGCTGAAACGGAAATTACAGAGGAACGTCGAGTTTTGTGAGTTTTGCTTCCATGCAGCTGCAAATATTCAGCTGTACACACAATAATTAGGTAGTGAAGACCTTCTCAATGCCATCAACAGGTACAGGTAGAATTTGATTGGGGCGGAACTGGTGTGTGACAGTTAGTTCAGATACTTTGATCATTAAGCGTTGACGTTGTTTTGCCAGATCTGACGTCACTATACGTTATTCCCCCAAGAACGATTTCTTCCTGTCAGTAATCACGCCTTATGGATGTTCTCGAAAAGGTTACCTCTGGCTGAAAGCCGAATATCTACCCTATTCATGAGGACAATGGCATTACTTATCAGCTGATAAAATAGCTATTCGAAGCCCAATAGATCTGCTCGTGCCTTGGACCTCCTTTAAAGACGCACTCGCCATCACCACCAACACCAAGGCAATACCAGGGTCAAAGTGATCACACCAATTCATAAGGACATATCAGACAAATTAGGTATAAAAAGAATGGAAGGATAATATGTGGAATTTCCCATGCTGAGTGGTTCACACTGTACCTGTTCGACCGGCTGAACTGACTGTAAGAAAACTTGTGTTGCCTGTTCTCCTGAAAGCCACAGGCAGGTAGGTTTTGGTGTTCCTTATTTTGTGAAAGACGTTGTACTAGCACTCCCAGAACTATTTCAGCCACCCATCACTAATGAGTCTTTTTAGTAGATGACCTGGCCTGATTGCAGTTCAGCCATTATTCGTGCCCTAGGTTAAATAAGGCGTGTCCGTCATGGGTAACGCCATGACTAATTATCACCCTCTGAAGTCAGCGTTATAATTCATATTTTTTGGGCTTGCGTAAAATAGGTTTTTGGAGACAGTAAAATATATACTACACCCAAAATAGACAGCATCTGTTCACATTGGCTGAAATTCAGCCTGTTTTGGTGCAAAGAAATGTCGAATAGGTTACCCATGAAAACCAAGTTGGAATTTCCACAGACGTGTAGCCTTCGGTGAGTTTGGATACTTAAGAGACAGGTATGGAAACTTTTCTTGGTGCAATTTACGACGTCGATCTACTTGGACGGACGGTAGTGATTCTGCAATGCGGCTGTCGCGCTGCCTCTCTATTTTACCAACTGATCGAAATTCAGGACGGAGGAGAATGATCATTGACGGCGAATAATACAACTGATCTGTGGTGAGATTCACTTTGGCCGGCCGTGGGATCAAGCATAAATGGATATACTTTAACAGCAGGTAATGCTTCAATGAAATACTAAAGCTGACTCGATAACACCGTGATCTGATATCACATGCGTAATTTCCTACCCACAGATACCGTCATCCTAATCGGACGCAGACCTACACTCCCTGAAAGAACATCGGCTAAGAGGACATCGCATACTAATGTTAGAGGGAAAACAAATGCCTCTTTAAATTGCAAACCCTGTTATTTTCATCAGCATTGTTATCCTGTTCAACAAGGTGTTGTGTGTATGTTTCCAAGGCGTATACACTTTGCTATGCTAAACTGGTAATATTTAGTTGCGCTGGTTGATAACACGTTTAAACTTGTGGAAGGAAAATGCCCCGGCAACTAGAATATCAATCGAAGTGAATAGTGAAGTAATTCATTCCTGGAAACACCAGAAACGGGAAGCAGATTGAATGGGATGCTAGTGACTGAATGACGCACGAGTGCATTCCCGGAGCTGAGCGATGGGTGTCCTTTCCAACAGCTGAAACATCGAAACTAGCGCACAGACTAAAATGACCAGTAATATAAGGCCTAACGCCCCCTTCGAAGAAAACTCGAAAAACATTCGGCTTACAAACATAGTCGACCAAAGACTAGAGCGATACTTCGTCTACTCAGATACACCTTACTACCTTTTTTCCAGAAACGCACAATCCTGGAATACTCTTCTCCTATCTGTGTTCAAAACTTTCACTGTCTTTAACAATTCCAGCTTCCAGTCAAATGATATCTTTTTGCTCAACTTTACGTGTGGATTCTTCTCAAGTGAGGGCTTCTGGCTGCCTCAGCTCCTATGTAAATGGGCTGTGAAAAACAGCGGTGTGTTTAAAAAATGGTCTATTCATTGCTGTGCCTTGCTAAGTCGAAGCTCAAGTTGAAATGTCATCTACAGCATCCACCTCGAAAGAGCAACGGCTCTCAGCTAATCCTGTCAAACACCGCTGTGGATGGGCTTTCCCGTACAGAAGTCTAGTGTTCGTGTGTTCTGGAGTCGTCGCACAACTATTTGACATTCTTATCCGCGTTCGCAAAGGGAATTCTATGGCTATTTTTCTTCTGTGACCACTGTGTTTCATATTCAAACGCATCAAACCAACAGTTTTACCCTGCATCATGTACACAACAAGCGACATAGACTACCGCAGCGACTTCGTGTGTCCTCATCAATTGCACGTGAGTAACTGTGTGTGATCGATTGACCAGCAGCAAGAGCTCACTTTCATCATATTATTGGATTGAATAGGTGAGGAAGCATGAATTGACAGATAAATCACCTCGAATGCAACATAGATAGAGGGAATTCACAACAATATTTGTTTATGAAGAGGTAAAACTATAACTGGAAGTTGCGCCTAGTAAAATGCGGGTAAGTAAACGGGTCTTAAAAATATGCATTTTTTCCGTGAAGTCATAGGTTGTGGTAGCTGTCTGGACAAAGTTTAGTCCGTTTACTAAATAATTCACAGAGTTTATAAGGTAGGGGTGTGAACTGAATCGGAAAATCCACTGGGTGGATGTGGCAATAATCTAATGGTCATGACAATGGTCATTTAGACAATCTGGCATTAATTGAGCCCGAGCAGTTAGCTGATGAGTATGTACCATTTTACGCACTCATCAACTTCAAGCGCAAGACGAGCTATTTCATATTGAGTACTCGCCCTAGATTTATCCGATCGCTCCTTGGACTTTGAAAGTTCTAATTCCACCTAATCGTGATTAGTTCATCATTAATCTGGGTCGTCAGCAATTTTTTTTATCGTAAAGAATGACTCTGACCCAATTCTGTCTGTATTGGTCCATGCTTACTTCCAGAATGCACTGCTCCCATCAACTGCAACCAAACTCATTCGAAGGTATCAATCGGCGTATGATGCATCTGCCAGGCGAATGTATATGTGTAGCCTTCACTTACCTTAAATCACAAGTTTATTGTACCCAACTCGACTGAGTCACTCTCACTGTCACATCCACCACCACGATTTGGATAAACATCCAACCTGCTGAAAAGCAAACCCAAACGGACCAATGGAATGACTAACCCCTTTCCCTATAGAAATTCTATTTGGACTTTATTTGCTGGTCGGCTGATTCGATTTTTTTCCAACTTGGTAGACAAAAAGTGGGTTTACGTTCTCCCTGATGAATACAAACCGTTGTTATGTCTAACACATGAGAACAGTCTGGCACTTTATTCGGCTTTGTGTAGCGGAAGTTGTATTGGTGAAATTAGGGTGGTGGAATTCAAAACAGGTGATGCATTTTGACTTGTTCGAATATTATTTGTATGGGGTAGGGTTTAGATATTTCTTTGTCCCAGACTGGTTTAATTATTCGGATACTAAGCTAAGCCTTCATCCTCAAAATTTTCATCACACTCGTGACCGCTCCGTTTGACCAACCAATGAGTCATCCAAGATTTTTCGAGTGTCACGAATCTTTTGTCTGAACTTACTGAGAGACGGAGGTAACCTAGACTTTGTCATCCGAAATTTCGAACAATTTGGTGCCCAAAATATTTTGAATTTTAATCCGTGTGCTCAGGGTCCTGCCAGAACCAGGACCTTAACTGGACTTTCTCAACAGCTATCCTGGATTCCACCTGCTTCTTTTCAAGCTTGGAAAGTCCAGTCCTGGAGGTCCTTTCGGCAACAATGTGCCGAAAGCTATCATAACAAAATGATTTTTACTTGAAGTTATTTGGACTGTCTTTTCTATGACAGAAACATTGGACTCGAGATTTATTGTTCGTTCGGACGGCACCTGTTTTTTTTTGTAAGCTCATACCGCCATGAGGACAGCGTATGACCCACTTAAATCAAGTCATTTCTGGGTCAACCGCTAGACAAAGATGACCATACACAGGCCTTAAACAAAATTCATGATTTCTTCCAACATCCCAAAGGGGTCATTTTGTTAAACGTCCCAAATCACCTACTTGAAGATCATCACCAACAAGGTGTTCAGAGTTTCGGTTTATCCGGGATGATTTTGAAGTTGAATCAGGTCGTTTATTACTGGCGGATTGCTCGTCTTTGCTTAAGCGTCGTTCATCCCGTCTCCTCCAGCCCAGAATTCCATCTTTCAGTATAACTTCATGTTTCTGCCATCGGCTAATCCAAACCATTGCAACGGGAATCCGTCTAGCGTGCCGCAAATAAAGTTGCGCGGTCATTTCGGGACACCAGGTTTCCAACTGTATTGAATTAGGCGGGGGGTGCATTATTCTCGAATTTTGGGGCTTCGTTGCGCAAACTGTGGTGTTTTCTGATCTAGACCCAGAAACACAACGTCGTGGTGACTGATTGCACAGAAAACAGCACCACCGGTTCGCGTAGTTTTGACTGACCTTTGCCGAAACATAAATGGAAAACAGATCGGAATTTATAAGGACAAACCTAATATGAATCCACCAACAAGTTTACTATAAGGGTTCACTGTGTTTATCCATAAAATATGATCACTGACAATAATTAAAGGGGAACTTTCGACAAAAAGCTCCAGAAATGCTCGTCGGTAAAGTGTCAGCAACTTAGTAAAGGTGAATTCACATAAACTAGTATAGGACTGAGCGAACCGTGATTTACGGACCTATACGAATTGATACAGAAAAATATTCAATCTGGTGTGAACTGCCAATATCCATGTTGAGATATCAGAAAAAATAAAAAAAGTTCTTGCAGTGACGAAGAAGGACAGAACTTCTCAATGAACTGGTACTAAACTACACTTGGTTCATATGGTGTTACACACAAGCAACTACACCCACTACAGACATTGCAAATATGGAGGAGCTTATAACTCGGAAGGGAGAGTGAAGTTCGATCATTCCCACTAGAGCTCAGGGTGTCGGTAATGCTTCAGGACAGTCTTGGATCTGGTTGTTTGTTTGCTGCTGCAAACAAAATCTGCCAATCAGAAGCAGCTTTGGAACAATTCATTCTTACTAGTTACCACATATTTTCTCTAACCGAAGATACAGCCAAATAGCTATAAAGCTGCTTTGTGAAATTTATTTACAATGAGTACTCATCTACACTTTATCTCGACGTTACCTTTTTTCACTTTAGTGCCCCATAACATGTCTGGTTGTTGCCATACCCACATGACCGTCAGCGGCCAAGACCGTGCTCAGGATTTTCGAGCCGGATCCCGTGAACGAGGTGAAGTTCGAGTAGTTGGACGTCATCCGTAATTAGGAATGACTAAGTTTTATCTGGCCTCATGTGGTTTTTACCATAATACTTTGCTCTAAATGACAGCATATGTATCGTGTCTAGTGATGAGGCCACCGAGACACAAATCTCCATGTCTTCCCTCACTAGAAATTGGAGGTTGTCAGACAGTACTCAGGTTGCTACATGGTGGACAAAAAGCATGAACCCCACAAATTTTCCCCAATCAGTTAAGCTGGCTGCAAAAGGTCTACCGGTTTTCCACCTTGCAGAGTCAAAAACTTTCGAATGCATTAGGTTTCCTAAAAAGGCATACGTGATAACTTGGTCATTGTCACTTGATTTACCACGAAAAACTTGGCTATTTCCATACATCATGAATTTAACATTTAAACAGGCGTATCAGTTTAATTTCCTGTGGACAGCTTGGTTAGGCTGGTGCAGAGTTCACACACTCAGCAGGAGCCCAAATCGTGGTTACCTATCTCCTCACGAGTCCCCTTGCTACATCAGCTTTAAATTTGGGGAAGATTAAAATATGTTGACTTAGAGGCATCCAACGAAACGAACAAGGGTGAGAATAAGGATACTGCCTCCGTATAAAGCACCCGAACCTCATCTAGCGTACAGGCCTTCGGTGAACCCAACCGAACTCCCTGATTAACCGAGGTTTGGTAACATATGGGAGGGTAAATTCCAGCAGTTTCGAGTCGGTAGTGATATTAAACGGTCGGCAGTTAAAGTAGGCCAGTATGTTCATGGTTGAACAAATGAAAGTGCAATCAGACCCACACACCTCGTGTTCAGTGTCCATGTGAATGAGTAAACAAAACTATACTTGATATTGACAGGAAAAATTTTCAGATATAAAATACCTTATCACCAAAAGATCTTTTGTTTCCGGACCAAAAATCGAACCTCGTTTACCCGTACTTTGTGTGCAAAAGAAGATACGTGAGGATTATTGTGAAGAACAACTGATCGGCCACCATATCCAATTAAATCAGTGTTTTCAGTTAAAATGAAACATTTATAGGGTAGTTAACCTTCATCTCTTCACTTACCCTACGGAATTCGACTACGTCACTTTACGTGAGTTCAAATTAGTAATATGGTATTTCGCCATTATGATGTACCTAATCACATATCAGATGACTACTGATTTCTCAGGAATTCCTATTTCATACCAAGTAAGAACGATTTTAGGCTGTCAGAATGTAACACACCTTAGTCTCTTTTTCTAACTGGACCACGTGCCAATGTCACAATTAATATGCTTCCATGAGCCAAGCGGTTTAGTAAAGAGTTGTCAGTCACGGTCTTTAGTGCATTTTTCGGAAACAATGCTTTCAACGCTCTTTGGTAAGACTCATGCTACGTCACCATTTGCTGTGAAAACCGCTTGCTTCCCGTACGATACTTATAATTGCTACGGTTCTGTTTGCTCATGGAGGAAGTTAGCTGCGCATTGGAGGCGGTAGCTGATACAAATGATACGCAAATACAGGGTTGTCAGTGGATTTTTCATTTTGGAAACTGGAAAAGGAAACTATACATTGAGTGCGCGACTGGGCTGCATTTGTTAGTGTGTCTAATCACTGGTATGTCTTGTCTCGAGATACCCATACAGGGAGATTGCAACGAATAGCTTAGCCGAGTTTGCTGGTAATGGCTGTTACACCTCACTGCAAAGTCACTGTTTGAACTCTTCAGGCTCGTCTCCATCCTTCGCTTGGTTGTGCGAAAATTGTTGTCAAGTTGAGCACGTGGCCAAGTCAGCGCAACCCATGGGGTTTGACAAGTTTATCTACCATGGGCGATTTTTTTCCCGAGGACCATTCGACATACTTCAGCATCACTGATCCGGTGTTCCCACCAGACTTCAGCAATGCCTCAAAAAATCGTTGGCAAACAGCAAATGTGTACGTGGAACAACCTATATCCAGCACCTGGCGAGTGATTTATCTCATCCAGAGAGGAACAGATTTACAAAAGTTGCACGTAACCAAACCAAATTAATAAAACGAACCTTCTCAGTGGCATTTTTTGGATCTGTAACCGGCTCAAAAAGTTCGAAAAACCTGGCTTCCTTCAGCTCCTTAACTATTGTCTCACATTCCTTTGAGTTTGGAAAGCTTCGAGTGGCGAGCAGGAAGAAGCTGTTGAATTTTGACAGTTGTTTTCGAGATCGCGTTCGCATAGAATTCCACGTTCGGATCCGATTGAGAAGAGGGGATTTCGGGCGTGCACCATCGTATTCTGCTTGTTCTCGGGCAACCGTTGATGGAGATATTCCGGGAACTGTGTACTGAGTATTGGAGTATCTAGCACTGTCAGAATGGACTCGAAGAATGCTGCGTTGACGTGAAGAACAAGCTGATGGGTCGACGATTTGTGCCCAAAACCATCGCAAATTTCGCATAGCTAGATGTTCCGAAGGCAGTGCCTTTCCGTACTTGACTTGTGTGCCTAAGATAATGATCTGACAGAGAGAAACATGGTGGAATTTTGTGAATTAGACGCCATGTAAGAGGATCAATATTTGAACTAAACTGGAATTTGCCCGTGTTCATCAGTATCTCTTGCAGCATGAACTATACAGATATCAGTAGTGGGCTTCACTGTATGAATACCCTTATGCCGAAGTGCACAGCATCGTTGAAGAAACCCGTAAAAATACACAAACCATGAAGCATTTTACCCACGATTCAGGTGGGCAACTTTTTCGCAATCAGTCAGCATAAAACTCGGAATGGATCGGGGCTCAATTCGCCAAATCAGGTTGGCAAAAGCCAGTCAGCTGAGATAGCTCCCACTAGAAACAGTAAATCAACCTTACCATCCAAAAAGGCCTAAGCCGAGTAACCCGGTAACACCTTGATCACTTGCCGGATCAGTTCACCGTCACCTATCCATCTCCAGAAGTAGTGATTTGTCACTTACTAAACTGTTTTTGCAAGCTATGCATCCACCATCAAACATTAAATGGTAAGATTACCTTGTTTGTCGAGCACAACCTGGACAAATAAGGTTCCGGCATATACCCAGTCTGTTAATCTTTGACAGAAGAAACATCTAGACATCTATGAATCTTTCCATCAAGCTTTGGTCTCCAGTAACTAACTAAGTTAATTAATATAACCGAATTAGGTGTAGCAAAACACACGATCCCAGTTAAGCGGAGGCCTAAATATAGTGTTCAGTATCTGTCTTCGTCACAATAGGTCTGGTATACTTGTTTTGGTACACAGTAAAGCGCTTTGCTAACATTGCCTCATTAGGAGAAGGGGCAAATTTATACTCTGAATAAAACGATTCCGCAAAAGAAACCACTCAGAAGGTTGCTGAAAGTTCTTCGACAGCCCACGACCTGTTTCTCCCTCCTTGGCGCCCATCAAGTCAACTCATAAGTTACTGGAATTGCAGCTCACTTTCTAATGTGGTCCTGTTGAAGCTTCGAGTTGAAGCCAATCTTACGTTATACTCAAACTTGAGGTAGCTAAGTAGCTGAGGGGTGAATTTACCTCAGCTTATCGATTGATGCTGTCTAAGCTTTGCGAACCCGATGATAGCTCAATCCCCCCGTTTCCTACACGTGAGATGACACCTAAGCACCAAAAGGGTGTAACAGCAGGGTGATGTATTTAATATATTTTCATATATTTGGGCACTAATTTAACGAAACTGACTTATTTCTAAATGCTGTCGTACTAGAAAAGGATTCAAATGGAACTGTTTGATTTTATGCCGTCCACTATATATATCTATATATATTATATATATTGCACAGATGCCACCTCATTTTTTGGATGACACACTACTCGAGAAGCCCCATTATACATTCCTTACAGAACCTAATGCTTCTAAATTTGGTGAAAACTCGCCGGCAGTCCACAACCGGTTTCGCCTTCTTGTGGCTCACGAGGCACATCCACTTCAAGATCATAAAGGTGGTATGCACGCGTTGACGTGAAGAACAAGCTGATGGGTCGACGATTTGTGCCCAAAACCATCGCAAATTTCGCATAGCTAGATGTTCCGAAGGCAGTGCCTTTCCGTACTTGACTTGTGTGCCTAAGATAATGATCTGACAGAGAGAAACATGGTGGAATTTTGTGAATTAGACGCCATGTAAGAGGATCAATATTTGAACTAAACTGGAATTTGCCCGTGTTCATCAGTATCTCTTGCAGCATGAACTATACAGATATCAGTAGTGGGCTTCACTGTATGAATACCCTTATGCCGAAGTGCACAGCATCGTTGAAGAAACCCGTAAAAATACACAAACCATGAAGCATTTTACCCACGATTCAGGTGGGCAACTTTTTCGCAATCAGTCAGCATAAAACTCGGAATGGATCGGGGCTCAATTCGCCAAATCAGGTTGGCAAAAGCCAGTCAGCTGAGATAGCTCCCACTAGAAACAGTAAATCAACCTTACCATCCAAAAAGGCCTAAGCCGAGTAACCCGGTAACACCTTGATCACTTGCCGGATCAGTTCACCGTCACCTATCCATCTCCAGAAGTAGTGATTTGTCACTTACTAAACTGTTTTTGCAAGCTATGCATCCACCATCAAACATTAAATGGTAAGATTACCTTGTTTGTCGAGCACAACCTGGACAAATAAGGTTCCGGCATATACCCAGTCTGTTAATCTTTGACAGAAGAAACATCTAGACATCTATGAATCTTTCCATCAAGCTTTGGTCTCCAGTAACTAACTAAGTTAATTAATATAACCGAATTAGGTGTAGCAAAACACACGATCCCAGTTAAGCGGAGGCCTAAATATAGTGTTCAGTATCTGTCTTCGTCACAATAGGTCTGGTATACTTGTTTTGGTACACAGTAAAGCGCTTTGCTAACATTGCCTCATTAGGAGAAGGGGCAAATTTATACTCTGAATAAAACGATTCCGCAAAAGAAACCACTCAGAAGGTTGCTGAAAGTTCTTCGACAGCCCACGACCTGTTTCTCCCTCCTTGGCGCCCATCAAGTCAACTCATAAGTTACTGGAATTGCAGCTCACTTTCTAATGTGGTCCTGTTGAAGCTTCGAGTTGAAGCCAATCTTACGTTATACTCAAACTTGAGGTAGCTAAGTAGCTGAGGGGTGAATTTACCTCAGCTTATCGATTGATGCTGTCTAAGCTTTGCGAACCCGATGATAGCTCAATCCCCCCGTTTCCTACACGTGAGATGACACCTAAGCACCAAAAGGGTGTAACAGCAGGGTGATGTATTTAATATATTTTCATATATTTGGGCACTAATTTAACGAAACTGACTTATTTCTAAATGCTGTCGTACTAGAAAAGGATTCAAATGGAACTGTTTGATTTTATGCCGTCCACTATATATATCTATATATATTATATATATTGCACAGATGCCACCTCATTTTTTGGATGACACACTACTCGAGAAGCCCCATTATACATTCCTTACAGAACCTAATGCTTCTAAATTTGGTGAAAACTCGCCGGCAGTCCACAACCGGTTTCGCCTTCTTGTGGCTCACGAGGCACATCCACTTCAAGATCATAAAGGTGGTATGCACTTGGGTCCCTAGCGAGAACCAAGTTGAGTTGACAATAAGTATATTCCACAAACTGTGTTTGTGGTCTGATGATGATGGAAAATCAGGGACTACATCTTGACTGATACAAGAGTGTTCAGTAAGTTGACAATAAGTATATTCCACAAACTGTGTTTGTGGTCTGATGATGATGGAAAATCAGGGACTACATCTTGACTGATAAATCCCAAGAGTGTTGAAACCGATAGTTGGCTGTCGGAGAGTTTTCAGCAACCTAATGAGGACTGTGTTCTGTGAAGAAAACATAATGCGATGCATCGAATATCGCGCCAACTGAAAAGTGAGGCGGTCTGTTCGCATCTCATTTCGTTGCAAATGATGAACGAGGTACTCATTTGAGTCTTTGATTAACGCTAAAGGAATAAGCTGGTTGTTGTATTTCGTCAATGATTCACATTCATTGTTGCTCACTACCATCATTCCCTGATCTTTTAATCTTTTGACGTGAAGATGTCATGAGATGAGTTACATCTTTACATTATGGGAGTAGTTAGGGGCAAAAAACAGCTTGATATCAACATGCTTGATTCTGGACTTGATGAATTGTAGCACGGTCGTTGCGAAAAGCAGGGTGTGATAAATACGTCCATAGCAGATTAAATGGGTTGTGCAACTGCTCTTCAGCTCGCTTGCTATTGTTTGTAGACTTGATCAATCAGAAAATGATTCAGGAACAACCACAAAGTTACCAAACCGCTTTTCTGGTCAACCATAACCATAAGATAATCTCTGCTTATTCTACTCGATGCTTTTAGAGTGGCATTACCATCTATGACCACTGGGTGACGCACTAATGCGCCAGAAATCACACATGACTTGGTAATGAATGATCAATAACTGGTCGAGTAACTTGTTGTGGGTATGTGTGCTTAGCATATGCTGTCTTGCCTACGAAACTAGACAAGTGTGATAGAGGGGCTCCACAACGCGCTTTGTTGGGCTGCACATTTACATGCTACACGCTCAACTCGCCGGTTAGCTTTCTGGAGTCTGATCGATTTAATAACACAGCAATTTACTACATTCTCAACTGGACGCAGTCAGCGACCATGCACACATTCGTTATGCACTGACGGAAAGATGTATGATTGTGACTGCTGCTGATAGACGCTGGTATACGTTCGTTGTTACTGTTCCAAGTGGATGCCTTTGTAGAAATCTACGAACTGGAGATTTTGAACTTCGTCCGCGCAATGGAGAAACATGTTAAAAGCTGTGCCTCATGTTTGTTCTGACTGCTCAAGAAGAAATTTGTCTCAATGAACTCGAGAGTTGGGTGGATGAGAAGCGCAAAATCCTACCTCAAGTTTGTCGTCATCTACTCGATTTCCATCTACCCCATCATATTTAATTCCGGTTTTTGCGCTTAATCTGTTTAATATGATTTCGTAAGCTATCAATAGTTGACGGCCATATTCCCATGAGAATCCCAAAAGCCAATGTTGTTGTTGTTTGTGGTACAAGAAAGACAAAAATTAGTCAGTCAGATCAAGGAAAGTTCCGTGTATTTGGCTAGCATCCACGCTCACTTGGGTTGGTCATCTACCTTTAAAAGGCCTGGGTTATTTTTGTCTGTTTGATTACAAGCCTGATAAAAAACTTGTTGCGTCACAGAACAAACGAACACGGTGCAGTAAAGAGTGTGAATGAGGAATGCGATACACAATGTGGATAAGCTTTGCCGGTTTCAAGTATTTGTAGTATGTGAAACAAAGTGGATCGGGAATTGTTAGAAATATTGGGATGACAAACAACATCCGGGCTAAAATTACAATCGCTGCGTTCCCCAAATAGGAACGAATCTGGAGGTCCTTTTGGCGCATCACCAAAATCAATATTTCTGTCAATGTTACAGTCAGAAAAGTATGCCGAGAAAGTGGCTGAGGCTACCTTAGATCCTGATACCACATGCAAAACAAACATCTCGTTTCTCAGCCAATTTGGTCACCGTGATATGAAAGATTTCACTGCACAATGAGGAGCAGTGGAACCGTTGGTTGGGTGACATGCAATAGCTACTAATGAGCTTCCACCACCAAGGGAGCCATTTTATTTTACCAACGCTTTCCAAAACCATTGATTCATGCACTGCATTCTCCTTTCAACCTCTCGATATTTTCCACCTGGAACGTCGCGTCTAACCCATAGAAACCGAGATACATCTGATATAATGAAGTAATCAGCACCGAAATTCATGATAATGGGGAGGAAGTGGAGTGAGCATGACTTAGCTTGGGATAATGCAACGAATTAGTCTCTACTCTTTGGATAGTGTAACAATTTTTCTGGGTCAAAGAGACAGCTCCTTTCTCTCTGACTAAGCCATCTCCAAAAACACCGATCAAAACTTAAGACGTCAATAACTTTACGAAGACATTTTTCCTATCCTAAAGAATTCAAACGAAGTGAGGTGTGCTGTGTTTTCTCGTAAAGTGGTTAATCAGATTGGTGGCTGCGTTTTTACTCATCAAAGACATTTTTCGAAGCACTGGTTGCGCGTCTGTGAGGTAGATTGAATGCATCAAGCCATCAATCCATTAGAGTATTAAATATTCGGTGCAGAAATAAGCTGATGCATAGTGTCGCTCTATGCTTACCATCTACTACAGTCAACTAGCTATTAGGGTCAACATAAATTTCTCGAATGTAAGTGCAGAGGGACCATTATGGCTTTTTTATCGAACAAGATCAAATCGGTTCATCTGGATCATCCACACTCAGCTCACTACCATCATCATGTGCCATCATCAATAAGCCATTCACAAAACCAGTTAAGGGATGGAATTACTGGCTGGAAGGTTTATGTTTCAAACCCAATTTCAGCTTCTCGACTGATCTTGTCCATGATTGGCAGACCTAGCAGTATTTCAGCACTTCGGGTGTCATGGTAGCCAAGTATCGAAAGGGTGTAACAACTAAAACAAGTCGATCAAATTCTATCGTGAATTTTAATACCGGGTGTCTTGTTCGCCCTCCTGAAGGAGGGATTAACAGCCGTTTTACGAAACTTGCAAGGACTTCTGTGGGTAAAGTGAATGCCTAAACTTGGACTCACTTATTGTTCTATTGCAAAATGCGCGCAGAACTTTCGTCTGTTCAACTTGTTAATTTGGGTTAACTTAACCCCATCTGCTTCTGAATCTACTTCGTGCTTGCTCAACTGTGTACGGGAATAAAACGGGAGTTACCTGAATGATGTGCCTGTCTGCAGGGCGCATTAATCAGATGACCATAGTTAATGTGCTGCCGGCCAGTTATACGGTGCCACGCCACTCATCACGTGCTCCCAACTGTAAAAGTGCCGGCTCACTAGCCAGGCTTAAAAGTTAATAGTGGTCTACCAACCTTTAGGAATACGGTGCATGTCTTACACTATAGCTTAAGCTTGTTAGTCCGAAAAAGTGAACACGGCAGGTATCTGAGAAATCCAATTAAAGTGAATTTGCGTTAAATAGGAAAGACAAGAGAGGTATTAGTGGTCTTTCGCCAATTATATCGATTATATACTGGCTATGTACATTCTGAAGCATACTTAGACGGATATGCTTGAAGTTTTATTCGCCGATTACGTTTAAATTTACCTATTTCTAATCCGTTTTGGCTAGATTGAACAGAAGGGCAGAAGTTTGACACCGAAAATTATGTAGGCATTGGGCCCATTAGGATACGGGAAGCCATATTTGGTCAAAATTTAAGAGAATCAAATTTTCCTGCCCGGTATCCAAATCCTTAGGTGAGACTTTTGCGATCACACGAATAATGGTGTCACTTTGGCTCATAATGCTAGTGTGGTGTAGCAGAACGTACTGTAGAAATAGTTGAAGTGCGCTAGCGGTTGCCTCTGTTCCTTCAGTTCAAAATAGCTATTAACCAGCTCACACGATACTAGCTGACCTAAGAATAACAAATTCTCCCGGCAGCAATTCGTCTCACGGCGGAGAGAAGCACATGCCAAAGAACTCATAGATATGGAGAATAAATAAACAAATTTCGTAAGCTGGATCATCTTAGTGAAGCAAAGACAACGAAAAGCATACCCATAGTCGCTCACCTTATTACCTGGATGACACAGTATCGAATTATTAAATAATGCTCACCCGAGACTGTCTGTAGATTTTTCATCAGAAAGATTAGGTAGCCAGCCGTCTTTCGGTTTTTCAGCCAAGACATTATACAAATTGTGGGGTATTCTGAGAGCCCATGAAGCTTTTTTACTTGGAGCAATACGATGCGAAAAGACGCGATGCTCTCATGACACTGTTTGTATAATTTCTCAACAACTGAACCCATACATCACTATGTGAATTAAAGGCTAGAAAAAACACTTTCGCAATTTACGCATTCTCTCGGGAAAGCCGAATATCAGGTTAGTTTAACGTACCTGCATCCACGTGACTGGGTTCTCAGTGATGACACGGAAACATGTATCCATTCTATTCCCAGGAAAAAGACACTGGGAACGGCGACAACAGCATGCAAAGTATAAAGTCAGCGACGGACAGAGACTTCGAGGGGTGCCTTGAAAATCGTTTGAGCTCTCTTGGCTTCCCTCTAGTCTTGTGCTTCGTTCATTTAACCACAGTACCAGCTGGTGACTTTCAGCCTCCAAACTCCTCGTCTTAAAGTCCTCCAGACCGAGTGCAGCAGGAAGCGGGAAGCGGTTCGAGACGAAGTCAACATAACTAACAAGTTTTGCGTAGTATCGCTCATAAAACCGTTGCACAGAGTCAAGCTGTCCCACCGGTGAAAGCTGAGGGGCGGACTTGGTCAAGGACAGGTGAACAGGATCAGAAACCACGGATTTTGAAACAGAATTTTCAAACTGCTGACCGTCAAAGCGGAGCTGAGTGGGTACACCCTGGGTGTCAGAGTATCCCGGTGTATTTCTGGGACTAGAAAATCCCGGAAGCGTCGGAAAACGTACTGAATTGGCTTTTTCTATTGCATCCGGGTCAACTTCACCGAAAGACAGACTAGAAGAGGAACGCCGGTCTTCCCCAGGACTGTATGATGCACCCGTTGTGGTTGATGTTCTGCTAGAAGTGCTAGAACTGTTGACATTATTTAGCGTGCTTTCCGCCACTGAGTTTTCTTCAGAATGGACCCTGGTTTCAATGGGCCATTTCTTAGGTCTATCAAAATGTGAGCGGCTAAGCTGTTTGCCATTGCAGACTACCTTCATACTGGCTGAGAAGACACGATGTGTGTTTGGTTCACCACAATCAGTAGTCGAATAACTTTGTGAAGAGTTGGAATATAATTCAAAAATGTGGGTATTCCTGATATAAGATGAGTGGAAGTTTTCGGGAGAAGACGATTCATTCTCTTTGGAAATGTTGGGTGGAGATCTCTGATCACTGAAACAGAAACAATACAGAACGAATATTTTTGTCGGAAAAAATTGGCTGTAGAAAAAGCGAACAATGGACCCCGGTGAGACAAGGCAATTCTTGTGGGCAAAATGTCACATTCAAAGTAAATAAGAAAGTTCATGAAAAAAGCTAGGAAAGCCATTATAACTCAGATTTTACTAATTTATCTGGGTTCATTTCTGTTTTACCGACGCCAATCTTACCCAGTTTGTGATCATTACTGCCTATAGAACCTATCAGCGTGAATATTTTCGTTGGCAGATTTATTCCAGAAGACCGATTTTTCAGAGCCAAAATTTTCATTGGTGAGCTTTCGAAAACGGTTTGCCCTAGTTCGACTATCAGTTCATTATGAAGTCGACTTCCCCCATAGCCCTCCTAGTGTGAACAAATGTTGACGAATTGCTCGTGAACGAATTTCCAGTGGGGTAAAAAAAAAACAGAGAACAGAATGCAGCGTGATCGACTATCAGTTCATTATGAAGTCGACTTTCCCCATAGCCCTCCCAATGTGAACAAATGTTGACGAATCGCTGGTGAACGAAATTCCAGTGGGGTAACAAAATCTCAGAGAACAGAATGCAGCGTGGACATGCATGCAGAATGTGTTTGGCATTCCTTTGAAAAGCCATGCGTCTGCCAAAAATTGATTCAGAGACTGAACAAGGCATGACTACGGACACTGCAGGCACAAGAGTGAGTATAGTTTCGAGGGAACATTCGCGCATTCATGTCTCTCCAGCCTAACAACTTGAGAGGTAAGAAACCATCGTCATCTTGGTCAACACTTCAGTTACTGGACTTCATTGGTCTTCATTTGAGACGATATTTTATCCAGTGTAAGCATCTAGACCGTTTGATGGGAGGTATAGCTCAGGGTGGCAACTGAACACAGAAAAGCTCCGGCGGTATAGCGACACAACTTGCAAGATTTAACCTGTACGTGTTCAAATGAGGTCTTATTAATTTGCTAGGTATCTTATGACTGTCACAACAGGAAATCACCACAACAACAAAACTGGACACGATGACCTGCGATGAGCCGTTAGCACTGATAAGCTTCACAACGGCAGTTAGGATAAAGGTAAGTTGTTAGTGCACTCACCACTAGATGATTGCTGCGGCACCTGTCCTCCAAATGTTTACTTCACTAATAGTTCGTTGGAACAAGTTCACTTCACTGTTATCGATGAAACAACCTCTCTCGTGGGTAAAAGCTGACAAGTCGTTTATTGATGATACGTTACTCGAATATCTTGATGTCGATGTGGCTGTTGAATAAGGTGATGTTAGTCCATCCTCGGTAACGAAAACTACTTCATAACCTGAGGGAGTGTTCACTTGCTTGCAAGCCAGCAGGTAGAGCGTTAATGTGAAGGGATGACAGAGAGGAAGTTTTGAAATCAACTGTCATCTGCTATCAGCAAAGCTGCTATCAGTTTCCAGCTCCTCACCGTCTGTACTGGTTTGCGAAAATGGTCAAGTGAGTAAGACAGTGTACATGCGCAGAAGTATCATCCACTTACATGGATGCTAACTTACGGAAGGGATTTTCGATAAGGTCCAGACCAATCCAGTTGTGTCATATGCTAATGGAATTCGGAAGCAAAAGGTTCTCTGACGTCTAATTTAGTTTAGGGAATGCAAATTCCCAAACTACTACTAAGCACATTCTGACAAATTGCCTATAAAGTAGATCCAGGAGGACGTTTCTTCAAAATACGTTGGCTGATAAGTGTGAATTTCTGACAAATATGATCGGTGTAAGCAAACATCTTGGAAGAATCCCAAGGAGACAAATACCAGGATCTCCTAATACCGCAATACTTGAGGTACTGTTCGAACCTTTACTGGTATGCCTGTCTTTTGAAGGTGATTCAAGATGAATCGATAATACCAGTGAAAAAATCACGTGTGCAGCCAGATTACGAATCATCTTCATGACGAATCTTTTCAACAAACAGTTTGAAGGTGATCTAAATCACGGGATCTTCTAGACATGTACATCAGTTTGTTTACTCTCCTGAATGCGGTTACGCTCTTCAAAAAAGAGATAGTAATCTGGGTATACGTATAAGTAACTTTTAGTAGGTCCTCAGGACAGACAAGGAGGTATTTTGAGTGGTTCTGTTTTAAGCCATTTAGTAGGTAGCCATCATCAGGTGAATATGACAAGTTTTCAAACCCATGCAGAAAGCTGCAGAAGTATCATCACAGATGCCAGAAGAGGTCTGGTCGAGAACCATGGCCAGAAATGAACCCGTTGGGCACGCATGTACACAAAACTTTTGCACAAAAAATTACTTTGTCCAATTGCTATCATTCACAAATTTGGTGCCCAGGCTTTCGATAATGTGGGCGCCTAATTGGACGGTTGATTTCCATTGATTTTTTTTCCTCATAAACTTGACTTCATTGTGATTGGTTTCATTTATCCTGTAAATGTTCCAGTCATTGGATAAACCATCGACTAGGTTAGCTGCATTCCCTCTCAGTTGTTCAAACTGAGACCACTGGAGTTCTCCAGACTAGACAATTTATCTTTCAAAAACTCTACTGCGACTGAATCAGGTAGCTGTCACTGCATGTCACAACTAATTAGCATCTAATGTGTCAACTGGCTCAATCACTTTGTTCACACTCCGCTCGTAAATACGTAACGAAGGAATGCGGAACACAGTTTGATGCCCCAGGCTGTAATACGTGTTCAGTTTAGGGTGCACTGGAAAAG